CAGCGTGCGCTGCTCGACGCCCGTGGCCGTGTCCCAGAGCTTGATGGTCTCGTCAGCCGAGCCCGACCCCAGCGTGCGGCCGTCCGGTGAGAAGGCCACCGAGCTGACCCTACTGGAATGCCCTTCAAATGTCTGGAGATTTGAGCTCCAGGAATCTTCCACCGCTGTTCCAACTGCCAGTTGATCTTTGACTTTGCTAATAAATATCTGCTTGATAATACTTTTGGTCGGTGCAAATACAAGACCAGCGCGGTAGATCTGTAGTGGAGCAATTGCTGCCATGTAGTTATTTTGACGAATAAACCTTTCCGCATCATATAAAAAATCAGATAACTCAGAGCCAAGTTGCGCCTAGATAATATTCAGCCAGTCTTCTAAGCAGCGAACTAGAAACTTATACATACTCTTGACTTTAATGCATCTATTAATCCTACCGCTTCCGAAATTCTTCCCATCAGAGCTAGTACCTCCATCCAGTGAAGAAAGTGGTCTTGGAGAAAAATAAGAACATCACAGTCCATAATAAGACCTTTACTCTGTTCAACATGATGAAACCAGTAGCGACAGGCGTATTGTATATCAGAAGTCAGATAGTCTTTGATGATCTTAGGCTTGATTTCCTCTTGTTGGATTCCGTAACTTTGCAGCTCGCATATATTCTCTCTGAGCCGGGTTTTCATAAGCCGGAGACAATGTGAAGCGATTCTACTATGTGTATCTTGCTCAGGAACATAAAACGGGCACTTTTTGTCCAGGAGGTAGTCTCGAAATGACAAGTGTAGAATCCGGACTGGTGCTTCAGAATCCACCGGTATACTGAGAACAGAGTGGAATCCGTCCAAGCGAGTATTGATATCATCAAGTGGAAATTCAATGAGCAGGGAGAGAGCATGAAGGGGCAAAGGTGAAGCTAGAAGAATAATGGTCCCAACTATATGTTGGAACTCTTTCTTCAGCTGATGTGTCTCTTCCTCATTAGCTCCAGCAAGAAGCTGGCTTAGGATAGGCGTGTATGTTCGCGCCATTTCGTCTTCTGAAGATGCACTCGCACTGTTGAGAATCTTTTCAAGCCGTTGTTCTGGACGCCATTTTCTCTCTCCGACAAAGCGGCAAATCGTAGCTGCGAAGATAAATAGAGGAATAGCCATTGCTACCAGCTTTTCAATTTTCTCACTTCCGGGCCAGTCGGGTGACAGTGAGCGCTCTTTTTGTATGGCCAAAAGCTTACTTTCGAAGAAAAGCCGAATATCATGTTCAATCACGGACTTGGGAAGCTCTTGGAGGATCAAATCGTGGTGATCCTTATTTTTGTCAAAGCTGTTGCGAATAGGGAGTTCCGGTCGGCTGGTTAGGAATACTCGAAGATGCACAGATTTGATTTCTTGCATCTTAAATAAGCAGTCAAGGATAATTTGTTGGTGCTCGTCGCCGGCACACTCGTCTAAAGCATCAATAATAATCACAATTGTTGTAGATTGGCTAGTATACAGCTTCCGGAGTGGCTGATAAAGGAGCTTCTCAAACTGTATATCAAGAGATTTAAACACAACATCCGAATCATTCTCAATTGCATTGAAGACATCGAAACCTAGTTGCCGGTGCTTGATGATTAGTTGACGTGCGAGAGTCGACACAAAGCGCTTTGCGTTACCACGGTCGGCTTCGCCTCGCTTGAAAAAAAAGCTGGCACCTAAAAGCCCTTGGTTTTGGAAGGATTGAGCGACAGTCCGTGCAATAGTGGATTTACCAGTCCCCGCCATGCCATTTAGCCAGAAAATAAGTTGATCTTGCGACTGAGCCCACAACGAAATGCGGTGAAGAAGATCTGTTCTTGTATCTGGAAGACAGTAATCCTCACGCTGAGGAGTATAAGAGTCGAAAAATGCTCCTTCCGCTAACGGTAAGCTCTTAAAGCCAGAATGTTCAAGGAGTTTCTTCAAGGAATCGGCTAGTTCATCGATCTTGTATAGGATATTCTCTGCCTCTTTTGTGCGGTTAAGATATTCGATCAATCCAATCCATTTATCTAACTTAGCCCTTTCATTCTCAACCGAAGACTTGAGTGCGATGAGTGGTTGATGAAGGCTATCAGTCACTGTATTGAGTACTCTTTCTCCAACACTTGCTTCCTGGAATTTGCGTATCTGGACCGCGTAACACAAGATAGCTTTATAAAGTCTGATCAATGCATCTTCTACAAGATGATTG